CTATCAGGTTCATCTGGATTTATTTACTGAAGAACAAACGGAGGTTGTCATGGAAACATTGATTGGTATCTTCTGTAAAAAACATCATAAGGTAATAAATATATTTCAGTAAGTTAAGTACAACATCTAATTAACACATTGTGCATAATCTCAGAAAGAACTTGATACTGATATCCTAGGTTAATACTGATATCCTAGGTTAATACTGATATCCTAGGTTAATACTGATATCCTAGATTAATACTGATATCCTGGGTCAATACTGATATCCTAGATTAATACTGATATCCTAGATTAATACTGATATCCTGGATTAATACTGATATCCTGGGTTAATACTGATATCCTAGGTTAATACTGATATCCTAGGTTAATACTGATATCCTAGATTAATACTGATATCCTAGATTAATACTGATATCCTGGGTTAATACTGATATCCTGGGTTAATACTGATATCCTAGGTTAATACTGATATCCTAGATTAATACTGATATCCTGGGTTAATACTGATATCCTAGGTCAATACTGATATCCTAGATTAATACTGATATCCTAGATTAATACTGATATCCTAGATTAATACTGATATCCTGGGTTAATACTGATATCCTGGGTTAATACTGATATCCTAGGTCAATACTGATATCCTAGATTAATACTGATATCCTAGATTAATACTGATATCCTAGATTAATACTGATATCCTGGGTTAATACTGATATCCTAGGATAATACTGATATCCTTGGTTAATACTGATATCCTTGGTTAATACTGATATCCTAGATTAATACTGATATCCTAGATTAATACTGATATCCTGGGTTAATACTGATATCCTAGGTTAATACTGATATCCTAGATTAATACTGATATCCTAGATTAATACTGATATCCTGGGTTAATACTGATATCCTAGATTAATACTGATATCTTAGATTAATATAGATATCCTAGGTTAATACTGATATCCTAGGCTAATACTGATATCCTAGGTTAATACTGATATCCTAGATTAATATTGATATCCTAGGTTAATACTGATATCCTACGTTAATACTGATATCCTAGGTTAATACTGATATCCTAGGTTAATACTGATATCCTAGATTAATACTGATATCCTAGATTAATACTGATATCCTGGGTTAATACTGATATACTAGGTTAATAATGATATCCTAGGTTAATACTGATATCCTGGGTTAATACTGATATCCTAGGTAAAAATTGACATCCTAGGTTAATATTGACATCCTAGATTAATACTGATATCCTGGGTTAATAATGTCATCTTAGGTAAATATTGATATCCTAGGTTAATACTGACATCCTAGGTAAATATTGATATCCTAGGTTAATACTGATATCCTAGGTTAATACTGATATCCTAGGTTGATATTGCTATCATAGGTTAATACTGATATCCGAAGTTAAAACTGACATCCTAGGTTAAAATTGATATCCTAGGTTAATACTGATATCCTAGGTTATTACTGACATCCTAGGTTAATACTGATATTCTAGGTTGATATTGACATCCTAGGATAATATTGATATCCTAGGTTAATACTGACATCCTAGGTTGATATTGATATCCTAGGTTAATACTGATATCCTAGGTTAATACTGACATCTTAGGTTAATACTGATATCCTAGGTTGATATTGATATCCTAGGTTGATATTGATATCCTAGGTTGATATTGATATCCTAGGTTGATACTGATGTCCTAGGTTGATACTGATATCCTAGGTTAATATTGACATCCTAGGTTAATACTGATATCCTAGGTTGATATTGATATCCTAGGTTAATATTGATATCCTAGGTTGATATTGATATCCTAGGTTGATACTGATATCCTAGGTTAATATTGACATCCTAGGTTAATACTGATATCCTAGGTTAATATTGATATTCTAGGTTAATACTGAAATCTAGGTTAATATTGATATCCTACGTTAAAAGATCTATACTTGTCCAACTTCAATAGGAATAAGATCACATAGTTTGACACTGAGTTACAACATGTTTCAGGTTCTGTTTTAATATTTCTGTTTCAGTACCTAGATTACCTTTTAAAGGTTCTGTTACCTGAGATACTGATAAGAATTTACATGGAAGTCAAGGGAACCAACTACATACAGACTGAAGAAATTATGAGAAATTAAGAAATATTAAAATCGTTTTACTATTGTGTTATCTTATTAAGTTAAGATTGTATAATCTGAAAATAACGAAACCTTTGATGTCATTTCGGTTTTTCTATTGATGTCAGCAGATGTACTACACTAGATTCATTAAACCTCATGTCCTTACCACCCTAGAGTCATCAGACCACATGTCCTTACCACCCTAGATTCATTAGACCACATGGTCTCACCACCCTAGATTCATTAGACCACATGGTCTCACCACTCTAGATTCATTAGACCACATGGCCTTACCACCCTAGATTCATTAGACCACATGGTCTCACCACCCTTGATACATTAGACCACATGGTCTCACCAACCTAGATTCATTAGACCACATGGCCTTACCACCCTAGATTCATTAGACCACATGGTCTCACCACTCTAGATTCATTAGACCACATGCCTTTACCACTCTAGATTCATTAGACCACATAGTCTCACCATCCTAGATTCATTAGACCACATGGTCTCACCACCCTAGATACATTAGACCACATGGTCTCACCAACCTAGATTCATTAGACCACATGGTCTCACCACCCTAGATTCATTAGACCACGTGGTCTCACCACTCTAGATTCATTAGACCACATGGTCTCACCACTCTAGATTCATTAGACCACATGGTCTCACCACTCTAGATTCATTAGACCACATGGTCTCACCAACCTAGATTCATTAGACCACATGGTCTCACCACCTTTGATACATTAGACCACATGGTCTCACCAACCTAGATTCATTAGACCACATGGTCTCACCACTCTAGATTCATTAGACCACATGGTCTCACCAACCTAGATTCATTAGACCACATGGTCTCACCAACCTAGATTCATTAGACCACATGGTCTCACCACCCTTGATACATTAGACCACATGGTCTCACCAACCTAGATTCATTAAACCACATGGTCTCACCACTCTAGATTCATTAGACCACATGGTCTCACCAACCTAGATTCATTAGACCACATGGTCTCACCAACCTAGATTCATTAGACCACATGGCCTTACCACCCTAGATTCATGAGACCACATGGTCTCACCACTCTAGATTCATTAGACCACATGCCTTTACCACTCTAGATTCATTAGACCACATAGTCTCACCATCCTAGATTCATTAGACCACATGGTCTCACCACCCTTGATACATTAGACCACATGGTCTCACCAACCTAGATTCATTAGACCACATGGTCTCACCACCCTTGATACATTAGACCACATGGTCTCACCAACCTAGATTCATTAGACCACATGGTCTCACCAACCTAGATTCATTAGACCACATGGTCTCACCAACCTAGATTCATTAGACCACATGGTCTCAGATTCATTAGACCACATGGTCTCACCAACCTAGATTCATTAGACCACATGGTCTCACCAACCTAGATTCATTAGACCACATGGTCTCACCAACCTAGATTCATTAGACCACATGGTCTCACCAACCTAGATTCATTAGACCACATGGTCTCACCAACCTAGATTCATTAGACCACATGGTCTCACCAACCTAGATTCATTAGACCACATGGTCTCACCACTCTAGATTCATTAGACCACATGGTCTCACCAACCTAGATTCATTAGACCACATGGTCTCACCAACTTAGATTCATTAGACCACATGGTCTCACCAACCTAGATTCATTAGACCACATGGTCTCACCAACCTAGATTCATTAGACCACATGGTCTCACCAACCTAGATTCATTAGACCACATGGTCTCACCACTCTAGATTCATTAGGCATATTTATCTTGACAGAAGTCTTTTATAACTTCAATTTTGGTAACAACCTGAAATTTAGGTTGGTGGAAAGACATTACCGGTGAAATCTGGGGTAGCTGAAATGTCTGCAAACAATCATTAACCCAAGAGTAATCCCTTAACCAGTTAAATGCACCAGTATGCCATCATGTTTACCCTTACCACCCTAAAGTTTATGAAAGCATACACCCTTACAACTTAAAGTCATAAAAGCAGAGTGTTGGCCCTAGTCCGACCACTAGATTCCCTACCGAGTCTCGACTGATTGCAGTCCGACCACTAGATTCCCTACCAAGTCTCGACTGATTCCAGTCCGACCACTAGATTCCCTACCGAGTCTCAGTTGCCTCCAGTCCGACCACTTGATTCCCTACCGAGTCTCGACTGACTCCAGTCCGACCACTTTACTCCCTACCGAGTCTCGACTGACTCCAGTCCGACCACTTGACTCCCTACCGAGTCCCAACTGGCCACAGTCCGACCACTTGACACCTTACCGAGTCTCAACTGACTCCAGTCCGACCACTTGATTCCCTACCGAGTCTCAACTGACTCCAGTCCGACCACTTTACTCCCTACCTAGTCTCGATAGACTCCAGTCCGACCACTTGACTCCCTACCGAGTCTCGACTGACTCCAGTCCGACCACTTGACTCCCTACCGAGTCTCGATTGACTCCAGTCCGACCACTTGACTTCGTACCGAGTGTCCAACAACGCTTAGTGGTAGTGTAACTTTCACGGAGGCCATTTCATCTGCTCATTGGATCAAGTTAAATAATAACTTCTCATGGTCCAAAGAAATATACACGGCTTTGTATAACAAAAACAGTCCAGACGACAAAATAAAAACAACCAACATACATTTACAAACATAGCAACAATAAGAAGACAATACATGCACAAATTATGAAAAGCTTCTCAATTTTACTAAACGTTTTCGTTTTGGTGATTTATGAATTTGTAAAAATTGGCTACCGCTTAACTCTACATTCAGAGTTACTCCCCTTAACAAGATGGCGGCCTCCAGGTACAGATTGTTTATGAGACTTTGTCAAGAATGGAAATTAGATGAATCGAAAGCTGGAAGAGATTTGGGTTATGTTATTCGAGAAAAAGTTGCAGAAGGCTTCAGACAAGGAGAGTCTTCAACCATCAATGAAACGAAATGCACTAAAGCATACAATGCGTTACAGAACATCCACCTGAATATTCATAAAGAAAAATATCCGTTCACGAGACAGAGTGGGAGTATGAACAAACCGTTAGAGAATTGTTCAGCCCTGATATCAAACGAAGGTTTGGAAACATTTAAATGATGCTTTGGGAAGGACCAGTGAAGTGAGGATTGTTTGACAATGTCCATGGCGGTGAAACTGTCTAAATGTGTTTTATGTAATCTTTTTGTGACCTTGACATCATTCAGTGTTATTGAGAACTTTCCCTGTATTCTGTTACCAAACGATCAATATATAATCAAAAGGTAACTGAACAGGACCATAACTAAAGGTGGGAGATTAGGCGGACAGTGTTGAAATGTGTGTTTACATGTATTAAATTGTGAAAATAAAGCAATTAATGTCCATTCTTTATCAATTTTTGTGTTGATTTTCTAGAGAAAAGTGTGTTTCTATTGCTTCAGTTATAGATGTCAGTGCATTTGGGTGTTTAGATAGCCTATAATGAAGATGAGAAAAGTGATCAAATTGTTTTCTCCAGCCATACTGAAGATCTTATAGAATGACAGAGCTTGATGGTCTAGTGCACTAAATCTGCAAAGATAACATCTCACGTTTATGAAAAACCTGAGGTTTTTTCATAAAATCAAAGATAAAAGACATAATAAGCAGAGGCAAGTTCCATGGTAGTATATATGTAGCCAGTCCCTGGGTGTAAAGGGTTCTCCCCTTCAACCAAAAATAAGGCTTTGGTTCAGCCGTGGAGGCTGGGCCCCAGCAAAACCTTATTCAGTTCATCAAGGATTGATTCATTTTCAATGTATTTGTACAAAATCAAAAAGATATAGATTTAGATACGTTTTGAGTCACATTTGAGTTCTCTAGGTCTTTAATTCATTAAATTTTCTGAGTACAAATTCTGAGCCCCAGCACCAATTTATTCCTGGCGACGGGGCTGCTTGGGTTCTCGTTCCAAATTTATTATATAACTTAAAAACCCTGTAAAACAGTACAAACAATTAATATACAATCATAAAACAATATAAACAATAAAATACTCTATTCCTTATAATACATGCTAATTGATTATCTTATTTAATATTACTATAAATGTGCTTATAATAAATTATTAAATAATCTACGCGAAGTGGGGTTAAATGTACATCTGTAAACTATATCTTATAAACTAAACTACGTAATATACACAGGCTGAAAAGTGCATTATATATATATAATAAACATCCCCATAAAAACAGATAGTTATGACTTATATAAGGGAATAAATTACCAAGTTCCAAGTTCCAAGTTTAATTATTGCATTGCTGAAATATATTTAAAATAAACCAGTTACACCCATTCTTACTAAAATTGGTAAAACCCTTGACAATAACCCATAAAGAAAATAAGAAAACACACATACCTTTCACTGAATAATGTAGAATTAATCAGATAACTGACTGAATAACTAGATTTGGTGAAGGAATCAAATCTAGTCTCCACTCTACAAAGTTAATGATGAAAAATGTGGTATCTAATACACACAGTAGCTAGGGTGAGGATGAAAACAGTTCACCACAGAAGACAGACAGAAAGGCGAATCCCAAGATATAAATAGAACAAAACAAAGGGGTATTTACAGGTGATTGGCTGGTGCAGTGAAGTATAAAAAAAAACAACTGTTTAAAGGGACAGTCAAATAAACCACACTGTCACAGACACGGTCTTGAAATTCATTGTTTATATTCATTAAATTGTGAAAATAAGCAAATTAAAGTCTATTCTGCATAATTCTTTGTGCTGATTTTTGAGGGGATACTTCGAGGCGTGTCTCTATGGCTTCAGTACGAGATGCCAGTGCCTTGGGGGGGGTTTAATGAGACTAAATGTGAGGGAGTTCACACCACTCTATACCGTAATCCAACCCGGTGCAGAGATGTGATGTCAAAACTAACTGCACTCAACCCTTCTTCTCCCACTCTGGTGTCTCTCCGTGCACTGAAATATTTACCTAGCTACAAAATTTCAGCCAGAAAGACAACATCCCTTAAGAAAAGACAAAGGAAAAAGAGGTCAAATGCTTATCTCAAGCCATAGTCTGGAGATCTTAGTTATATGGAAGGAATAGAACAGTGGCAGATATCTGTAGAAAGACCCATCTGCCCATGCTCTGCACATCTCACACTCACACTAAAAAAAAGGTTACTATAAAGAGATCCAAACTGAAAGGAAAATACACTAAAGACTAAACAAACCAGCCTGCATTAAGGAAACCATCTTTATTTTTTTGAGAAACTTAAGTTTATTATAGAAAAAAACTAAATTATTTTCTATTTTTTTTCCCAGTCTAATTCTTAGGCTAATGCCTATATGTCGTGACAAAATTTCCCTTATTGCACACTGCATGGTAGTCTATACACAGCCTGTCGTCATTAGCAGCTGCAGAAATGTGGGACGTAAACTCTCCATTCATTTCATTTCCAAAATTCCGCAAATCACAAATAAGGATTTATCTAAACAAAAACCAGACATCTAAAAACCAGCGTAGGGCCTTCTCATGTTTTCCAACACCAAAGAAAAGTTTTGTTTTTTTGTTGATTTAAAAAAAGAAAAAGAAAAAAAAATGAATTGTTGTTGTTTGTTGCTCATTAGGGTATTTTACCGAGTTCGAATTTGTTTTCAGTTATCTTTTTTCGTGATTTCTACAGCTTCAGATATCTGCCACTGTTCTATTCATTCATTCTGTAAGATCTTCATTATGGCTCGAGATAACCATTTGACCGCGTTTTTCAGGGCCGCTGTCTCTCTGACTACAATTTTGTAGCTTGGTAAATATTTCATTGCTTGAAGAAACAACAGCATAGGATAAGAAGGGTTGACTGCAGTTGGTTTGGACATCACATCTCTGTACCAGGTTGGACGGTACTGTTACTAAGTGTAGACGTAGTACAGGCTGGTGAGAACTTCCTCACATTTAGTCTTATCCAAACCTCCCAATGCACTGGCATCTCATACTGAAGCTTTAGAGACACACCTCAAAGTGTCCGCCCAACAACCAACACAAACAATGATAAAGAATAGACTGTAATTGGCTTATTTTCACCATTTCATGAATGTAAACAATGAATTTCGAGACTGTGTCCGCCATGTTTGTTGGTAACCGAAAGTAGACACTAGTCTTGATTGTCACACCATCAAAGCTTAGTGAACGATCAAGTCTCGATTGTCATACAATGTAATTTTGTAGCAGGCCAAACCGCCTCCGTGTCATTTCGTCCCTGCTAAATAAATTTGTCTTTATTCGACTCTAAGGCGATATTTAGACGGTTTTTACCAAACAGAGAGGTAGTTTGAACAAGTGAAAATGTTTGCAATCCTAAATGAATAAAGGATTCATAAGTTTTATCATTTTGTTCCTAAGACCCCGGGGCGAAGTGGTAAAGAGGGCGAAATGACGTGAAACTACCTTTATTGACTCTTAAGTCTGAGAGCTAGTAAGAAAAGATAACTCAGTCCTTGCTAAACCGACTTCAGACTACAAATAACTTACAATTTCTTACAGTCGATTTTTGACATCATTTAATGGAGTTGTCTCCCTTAGACCTTAAATGACGTATAACTCGTAGACTTGATTTTCCAATAAGAACTAAAATGATTCTTGTCATTAGTCTCGAATATCAAACAAAACAAATAGAGTAGAAATAACAAAATGGCGGGTTCTCGTCAGAAGTTGCAACTGTATATCAGTTTAAAGACGATAGCAATAAATCAAACTACAGATATGGCAATCAGGGTATTGGATCACATTCTTTCAAGTTTCTCCGAGGTATGCAAACTGATTTTAAGCCTTGACTTGTCTTTCTTTAGCCTGAATTATGAATAAAAAATCTTGAGACGGTGCACGTCGTAATCAAATTTTAAATAGCCAAAGTCAACTTTATTCTGTTAAAGTAAAAACGTTGTCAATCGTTTATAAATGAATATAATTGTATGATTTTTGGTCAGGATATTCCAGATACATTACAGAGCTTAGTTTACTTTCAAGATATCAAGAAACAAGATGTCAACAAAGTACAACTTTAGTCAGGTAACAAATTTGTTTGTTCTGAATTTATTCTGTTTTCCAGGCTTTTGTGAGAACTTTATAACTCTTTACAGACCTGGTTTATAAATTAAAGCTTCCATGGAAAAGTCAAAAACAATTATTTCTGCAGTGTTTCATTTGTACGAATATACTTCAAGCTATTTTCATTGTATCTTCTTTGATGCCTATTTTAAGATTATATTTTGATCTAAATTAAGATTTTAATATTTGGAATTGTAATTTCTTTCAGGGTTTTGGAAATATGAAGAGTCTGTAATATCTGTAAAGTTTTTATGTTACTTGGCAAAGATTATTATTTAAGTAAAAAAAGAAACAAGGTGTCAACAAAATTCAACTTTAATCAGGTAACATATTAGTTTATTCTCAATTTGTTCTGTTTTTCAGGTTTTTGTGAGAATGAGAAACATAAAACCTTTTACCGAATTGATTTATCAAGAGAAATAAGAAAGTTATAGTTGATTTAGAATTTTACGCGTCACAATATTGTATATCGTGTATGGCCATTTTAAGAAAATGAGTATAAAAGTAAAATGGCTCTCACTCGTTTATAAATCAATATATTTGTATGATTTTTGGACAGGATATTCCAGATACATTGTAATGCAAATTGGTACAATAGAATAATTTTAAGCTTCCATGCAAAAATCCAAAAAAAATTATTTCTGCAGTGTTTCATTTGTATGAATATACTTCAAGCTATTTACATTGTATTTTTTTCGATGCCTATTTTAAGATTATATTTTGATCTAAATTAAGATTTTAATATTTGAAATTGTAATTTCTTTCAGGGTTTTGGAAATATGAAGAGTCTGTAATATATGTAAAGTTTTTATGTTACTTGGCAAAGATTATTATTTAAGTAAAAACAGTAACAAACAAGGTGTCAACAAAATTCAACTTTAGTCAGGTAACAAATTTGTTTGTTCTGAATTTATTCTGTTTTCCAGGCTTTTGTGAGAAAGACAACTTTATAACTCTTTACAGACCTGGTTTATAAATTAAAGCTTCCATGGAAAAGTCAAAAACAATTATTTCTGCAGTGTTTCATTTGTACGAATATACTTCAAGCTATTTACATTGTATCTTCTTTGATGCCTATTTTAAGATTATATTTTGATCTAAATTAAGATTTTAATATTTGGAATTGTAATTTCTTTCAGGGTTTTGGAAATATGAAGAGTCTGTAATATCTGTAAAGTTTTTATGTTACTTGGCAAAGATTATTATTTAAGTAAAAAAAGAAACAAGGTGTCAACAAAATTCAACTTTAATCAGGTAACATATTAGTTTATTCTCAATTTGTTCTGTTTTTCA